TGAGCTCATCGAAATATTCCCACATCCTTCAGGAAGCATTTCAATAGTTTCACACGTAACTTCCATAGGGGATGACATTGACTATAAAACATGACTCTCTATCCAAAGACCTTCAAGGAACTTGTGAAGATCCAGTGCAAGAGGAAGATGCATATATTATTTAATGTAAAAAATTAAAAATCCTACAAAGCAGCACTAAGCAAGCGCAGATGGAAATATAAGTATGGGCGTGTGGGTGCATTTCGTGTGTGCATTTGGAACTTTGAAGGAAGAGAGGGAGGGTGTTAGTAGGAGGAGGATATACGAAGACTTGCAAAATATGTTGTCACAACGCTGTTCGCTGTTGTCGCTCTATCACTCCACTGATGGGGGCGACGAAAATGTATCAAGACGGAGGGGACAGGGAGGGAAGTAGAATTTGATGCAGAGCTAGGGGGTTTGAGAGGAAGGAGTGGTTCTGCGTAGCCAGTCACTATGACTATGTATTACCGAGCATTTGATAAATAGAATGCCGATATTGAGAATGCATCGCAAGCTTTTGGACAGGATAAAGAAGGGAGGAAGAAAATAGGGATCTGAACTTCACTTGAGAAAAGGAGCAACGGAGAAGACCAGGGGAAATCAGGATGATCTGATTGTGGCAAGCCTTGGAATTGGTCAAACGATTTTGAGTGTGTTAGATGACGGCGCTTCTTGATTTTGTCTTCTGTACCTTCCTAAAAATGCATTCATTCTGCTTCCTTCTCGTCTTTCCTGTCCTCTCCACCCTTCGATACACTGTAGGAATGACACAAACAAAGCGCTACCATCAAGCCGCTGGTATTTTCGTTGCTCTGGTGATAAAGGCTGCCAATCATAAATAGAGGGGTCTGTACTTGTGCGAGTGAAGAGAGGGATGGGTTAGGATGGGAAAGGCAGTTCATAGGATATCGCAATATATATATATGTGCGTATATATACGCGCTTGTGTATAGATAGGAAGGATAGGTAGTGATAGATATATATGCGTGTGTGTTTAGTATCATTTTGTTTGTGAAAATAAGAGAAGGTGGATGGAATCGTAACACTTGTGATCGGGTATGAACATCATCAGCATTGTATCATCATCAGCATCAATGGATAGGAATCACTGGGATGCCCGATAAGCAGCGGTATCAGGCCTGGAAGACAGTCGTTTACTCTTGTTCTCTCTCCTCGTAGATACGTGTGCACGTGTGTGTATGCGACTTATTGTTTTTGAGGTTTAGTAACAGCCCAGATCGAATTGAAGGCCGACTGTGAATAAGGAAGGACTAGAAATGGGAATTGGATAATCCAGAGATAAAGACGTGGGTAATATAGCAACGAAAGTGCACCTTTCTGTGTATTAAGTTTGTTTTTGTTTTTTTTTCATTTGTGTTCTCTGAAGAGGGAAGAAATACAGCCAGGATGTAGCGAATGCGAGAAGCTCTCTGAAATGTGCGCGTAGATACTCTAATATGCCATGACTCGGGGTTGGTGCTACTGATATCGCGCCATCTAAGAATTTGAAGTCGGATTGGGTAAAGCTGTCACTGTAGTTCCAGTTGTGGTCGAATTAGCCGTCCATACACCTCGATTGTGGTCAAGACCTGTAGTTTGTTGAACTATTGTGGCAACATTACTAAAGGAAGTATGTGGATTCGTTGCAGCCGCCGTGGTAGCACCGTTTGAAGCCGTGAGAAATAAAAGTTGTTGTTGTTGATGTTGTTGTTGTTGACTGGCTGGTGCCCTACTGGCAGCTTGTGGAAGTCGAATGATAGCGGAATTAGCCGAATCCAGACAGGCCTGCTGGTGAAATATCTGTTGACCTGTGCTTACTCTTCCCCCAATTACTTTGGCGGTGCTCGTTCCACTCCGAATCCATTTGGACAGATCACCTATTTAAGAAGAATTATTGAAAACTGTAGAAAACAAGAACACAACAAAATTATTACAAATTTTTGCATTTCTAATGTCTTAGCCGTCAACAAGGCATCCATCAGTAACTAAGACGCAATACGCCTCAGCCGACTTCACGTTCCTGGGTGACGGTCTGACAACTAGGAACATTAAGTTGATGCGTTCTTAGTGTTTCGTTATAATTGGATAAACTGTCGCATTAGCTTATTCTTCCTCCTCGGCGCATTAGGGGCGAAGCAGGATTTACGTGTGCCGTTTCGATCCCCTAATGCAGGCAAAATGTATTAGGTAACCACAGGAGTGAGTCACACAGCGATGGTGTCAGATCCTAGTGAGGGCATTTTGGAAGACACAAACAATGACCTTCAACTGCTGCCGCTGTTAGCTTTTAGGTTTTAAATGTATGAGGCAGTTCTAAGTATTTTGCTTAATTGCGTCGCGTAAAAAACATAATAAGATAGTTTTGGCACTTTCCGACCATGTCCGTCATTTTAGACGAGGACTTTATGATGCAAGTATTATAACTAATTTAAATGCAAAATTTATTTCCTTTGCGTGAGGTCTCCCAAGCAATGCACCCACTCACCGGGTCACGCCACCTCCATCACAGACGATTTACACGTTGCTTAACTGTGAATGCAAAGCTGAAGCTCCTTTTTATATACTGTATGGGAGGAGGGAGGGGAAGAAACCGCGTTCCATAATCATCAGACCCGTCACCGCTACTTTCTGGAATCTGCCATTTATGGCAAGATGCGTTGTGTGTCTAAACCTGCGCGTGATCTGCACTGCTGGGCCAAAAATACTCCACACCATCACCATTCCTCTAGCTACCATATTTAGCAGCGCTGTGATAATGCTACTCCAAAATGACCGTCTTTAATTCCCTTGCAACCACTGCACTGCACATGAACTTTCTTTGAAGCCTACTTATCCAAATCGTCCACATGCTGTTCACACTAAGCCCAGAATACCTGAGATCAGACACCGAAATAGTGGCCAAAGTTGTAGAGTAATCAAGAAGACTTGTTTTAGGCTAATTTGGGACCTCATAACTTCCACAGCTGAGAGCATTTTATTCTTCCCTGAACTCTCAGAAAGAACCAATGCATTAGGACGTAATGCCAGTCAGTAGCACTTATTGACCCTAATTACTATTTTAAATTGGCAGTCTTAACAAAGTGAAGTCAAAAATACAACGGATAACTTATTTTTTGTGGCCATCAAAGGCGAAGTCTTCTCACTACATCCAAACCTATGATAAAAGGTTAATACAGTCACAAAGTCCGCACTTTGACCATAATTTTACTTCCTCTTTTCATTCGTTTACTGCATCAGATACCCTTCCAAAACCTGCAGTCTGCTTTGCATAAACTAGTCGCCAAAATTCTGTTGTTGTCTTCAATTGACTCTTTTTTGCAAATTCGAGCGATCATTAAGTTTGGGAGATTTAAAAGCCTGCCTTAAATATTTTGTTCAATATGTTTTTAAGACATCTTTTTGTGAAGCGACGCTTCAACGCATCTCAGAAGACGCGTCAATTCAACGTTTACTTACCCGTAGACAAAATAGGTCCAGATCCATCCACTCCATTGGCGGGAACGAGTTCTATGAATCCCGAATTAGCAGCCGTGGTGGCGTTAGTATTGGCATTTGCGTCCTCAGCCGTGGCAAACTGGCTGTTGGCACAGATGCCATTTGTGGGTGCGTGGAAAAGTGAAGTCGTCTCTTCTCCTCGAGGAACGGAGATGTATCCGGTTTGGAGAATGGGTTGACTGAATCCTGCAGTTGTGTTGTTCGGCTGGCGCTGCTGTTGCGGCTGCGGTACTGGTGGAGGTGGCGGCAACAGAGACACACCGGATGTTGACACTGTTGCTGCACGACTGCAAAATTGGTTCTGCATTGTGGCTGGCTGAAGAACCATTGTACCGTCGGGTTGGGGAATCAGTAACTAAATGCAACAAGAACTTGGCTTTAAAACGTTAGTTCAGTAGTAGTTGATTCGGACTCATAGAAACGAAAACACTTCGACTTAAAGGTGCCAATGGCACATTTGACATCGCCTGAGTTTTATAACTAAAATTCATTCTGCTTGAATGTAAGAGAGAAAATTAGTTGTAGAAGCAAAGTGCTTTCTGTTGTTCAAATGTTATGCCAGTTTAACTGCTGTTGAAACACTAAAAATGTCAACCTACCTCACCTACGAATGGCAATAGTTTTATCTCTTTAAACCCAATCCATCTATTTACGACGCACAATTCGATGCGATTATGATTGCCATAAACCGATGTCACACACTTGCGATGCCTGGTGGAGGAGTCAATGGGCAAAGCCGTAAGAAGTTTCTTGGTATTTTTAGATTTTGAAGTGTTTGAACTTTGAGGTCCCCTATTTTCGCCTCATAGATTTCCCTAGTTTGGGGATTTCGCGGTAGATCCGCATTCCT